TACAAAATAGGTGCAAAAAGCACTAGTTCAGTCTACGAAAAAAAGGTGCAAAAAGCTCCGTTTACCTCTATAGGAAAGCAGCAGCCGAGCCCCAGGAGACCACGCACGCACACACACACACACACACACACACACACACACACCTACACACACACACACACACACACACACACACACGTAGGCAAATGTTTTAACACTTTCGGTCAAATTACATGTTTTGCTGATTTTAGTGCACAATTTCAACTTCTTTTTATATACTGAGTTCAAAATATTTGGGGAAAAAAGGAAACAAAAGATGTGCCATAACTTTTGCACAAGCCACACTTAGCTTTCTCCCTCCCCCCATATGTTAATTTCAACAAATAAACAGCAATCCTGCATTAAAATGTGCAGAAGAGTGTTCTCTGTAGAGGACGCGCCAACTTATTTACACTGACTGGTGTGCCTAAACTTTTGCCTACGACTGTATGAGATCTGTATTACTTGGACATTAAAAATATACTGTTAACATTCATTTGTGGTTAATTTGGGAGATTTTCACACAGTTTGGCCTTTCAGACGTATATATACTCATCGTAATACGGACATAATCGCGATACTGAGATCGCAGGAGGCTGTTATAAGCAGCATGTGCTGAATTTTAGATAAATAAATAGATCAAAGCATTTACATACTTAAACAAGCACAAATCAGTGTAGTTTAGGATAATTATTAGGGATGCAAATTTGGCAAATGATTTCAACCAATAACCTACTGTCATTAGTCAATTAGCAGTTAACTGGCAGCCTAAAATCACAAAATATGAAACGGATAGATCCGGTTCTGAAAGCTGATTGGCTGAACCGTGTTTGCAGCCAATGTTAAATACTTGATATATGCACTGATGAGCGCATGCATCAATCGTATACTGAAATAATGCACCGAGATATTATGGAGCGTGGAACGTAGTACTGATAGGTGGAACCTGGCATCAGCACGTATACAAAACATGGCCTGAAACTATCAATACCCGACGAATACATTACATTAATGATTATTTGGTCAGAAATTAAAGCCCTGGCAAAATGAGCGGACTATATAAGGAGAGCTATTTAAAAGTTTTATATATATATATATATATATATATATATATATATATATATATATATATATATAGCTGCTGTCAGAAAAAAACTTATTTCCATTTTTTGTGGCTTTGACTCAGTACATTCACCACATCCTTGTCTATAATTTTGCACTCCCACGTGTGATTTCTTTATCGCCCATCGCTCCTTCTCTTGGAGAACGTGAACCACAGCTGTCGATCTTATCGCTTGTAGATGCTTTTGATACGGCACATGTAGTTGTAGTTGGGCACATCATTGTAGCCGTCCTTTCAAACATGCTCCACTATTTTAAGCCGTGTGCTTCGGGTTTTGTTAGGCTTATATAGCGGAACTAATCGACTATACGCCTTCATGTGTACGATTCAAAGACTCTACTTGAATGATAAACCCACCGATTCACATAGGAAATTCGGTTCACTGGGAATGAAATAAAACAAACATCTTTTTTAATTCAAAGCATTGGTTGAACAATTGTTGGCTAATCGTTTACATCCCTAGTAGAAATATTACTGCAGTATGATGATTCTGCCTGTATTATGCAGCCTTAGTTCAGACAGCAGACGCAACATTTTCTCATTCGTGCGGTTTGTAACTAAAGTGTTCAGCACTGTGAGTTGAGCTGAAGACTTTGGTCAAACTGCATGGGTAGTGGGATACAATCAGGAGCACAAACTTATCATACGCTGCCTATCAAAAGCTGGACACCTTGCCTTGTTTTGAAACATGAATTTCCTTAGCGTGACTTTTTAATTGAACAAAAGTCAGGATAAAGCAGCTGGGGGCTTATTTAGCTTCATGTTCCTTCCCATCCTAATGGTCTGAAGCAGATTTTGTCTGGAAATTCTTTTCCAAACTACTGTTAAACGCACATACTGAAACTCTTATGGCCTAAAGGTGCTTTAAACACCTGAAAGGCTTGAGTGCTGAACAGTGCTGCCTGCTCACAACAAAAGGATTAAATGGGTGGGTTTTGGCTTCACGTCCAAGACAGAACCTTTGGCTTTTTTCCTTCAGTTTTCTGCAAAGGAAAAATGGCAAGATTTTCATTAAACTTTCATTAAACTTCAAACAGATGCTCATTTTGAGAAGCTAAGTTCTGACAGACAGCGCAGACTGGAAAATGGCGAAATGATACCGAGTACAAAGCAATGAAACAAATAAAACCAAAGTCGGGCTTGGGATAAAACTGCAGCCGTATTCTAATCGTAATGGAAATTTCAGCAAGCAGTGGTATGCAAAGCGTCATGGGTTTTAGTAAAGGGGGGGAAAAAGGCTTCAGCTAAAGTACAGCTTCTCACACACACACACACACACACACACACACACACACACACACACACACACACACAGAACAAGGGAAACAAACACACCTTCAGTCTTAATCAAAGCATCACCCACATACGAGCACACAGAGCCAACTATGTGCAAGGAATGTACACAGATGGTTTCACACACAGACACACACAGACATGCCTACTGAAGCATGCACACACTCACAATACACACACACACACACACACACACACACACACACACAGCTGCCCAAACAGGGGCATACACAGACAGGCTCAATCACACTCCACTGGCCCTCTCTCTTGCACTCTCTCTCACTCTCCTGGGACTCGAGCGCTGAAAACCATCCCCCCACGCTCACAGGCCCTGTCTTTCAGACAGTAAGGTGACCATAACAATAGGAAGCACAACTTAGCCCCTCCCCCCCAAAGGCCATGTGTATATACAGTACTGTGAGAAGTCAGAGACCACCCTTCTTTTACTTAACTTCCAGTCCGAACGGCCGAAGCAGAAAACTGACCAGAGAAAATCAACTAAATACACACAGTTTGCAGTTTCCAAAGAAATCTGAAATGTTTCCACACCTCCAAAGTTCAGCCTTAGAAGTTGGCTGCATTTCCTGCCTCTCAGGATTGAATGAATCCCAAACACATTCAGTGATGTTGAGGTCTGGACTGGAGCATCTGAGTAAAGTGGAGCGCCAGACATTTCAGCTCCTCGCCCAAAGCGTTTCTGCAATCACTCCGCTCCAGGTTTTCTATTCCTGCTCCTCACTTAAATGTCAGAGAAACGCCGCTCCATATGATCCATTCTCGTGATATTTATTTAATTTATCTCTCAACTCAGCAGAGTTGAGCTCCAACACTAATCTATCACACCTGACCCAGGTCCTGAAGGCCTTCAAAGAGGATCTGAAAACCTAGAACCAGGTGCGGGAGATGTGAACTCTGAACCAGGGTGGCAGATCCCCAGGACCAGGATTAAGTGTATGGACAAGACACTACACCCTTTACTTATTATATAACTTGTGGACGTTATTGAACAAAAAACTAGTTAAACTTTGTGCTACGCTGGCTTTTTTGGAAGGTTTAGGCTTGAAGCGACGGCCCAATCTAGAAATCTGCCGAGGGTAAACAAATGCATGTGCTTGTTCTTTATCATTCGTACAGTAAAATGGACGACACGAGACGAACTCTATAACGTCTGTACAACTTCTTTGTGATCGCTGAGGTCTGCTAACAGCTCTGTAGCGCAGCCGATGTGTAAGAGCGCCCATCGTGTGAGAACTTTGGAGTCACTGCCACATCACTCGTGTCCTGCCGAATAAAAATGGGACTGTCCAGCTCGAGGGATGGAGCGATACTGGAGCGATTTCAGAGCGAGAGAGAACTCGGACATTCTGACTTTCACTCTGCTCCCATGCTCTGGTCTGGACCAGCTAATCTGTTTAATAAGTCTTCATCTCAGCAGTGAGCCTGGGGTCGTTATCCCGCTGTAGAATTCATTCTCTCGTGTCCAGTTTCCTTTTCTCGGTCTTGACAGCTGCACATCCTTTCAGACCCATAGCGCTGAGTCGTCTTCTCACAGTGGAAGGATGGCTGTGGATTCAGATCTGAAGCAGCTTGATTTTCTCCTCTCTCTCATAGATGAAAGCTTTAAGCATCTGGACAGTTTTGATGGTCTACCAGGTCTTGCAGGGTTGCTTGGAGTCCCATTTTCTCTGTTTTCTCTTTAAGTCACTTTTTGAACCCCCCCTTTTTTTGAAGGCTCCTCCTTCATGCAAGTGGATTACCTTCTATCTAATCTCCTCAGAATTCTCTCTTAATAACTTCTACTTAATGGCCATTTCGACAGGAAATTAATAAACGAATGGTACTCTCTGACTTTTGCACAGTACTGTATGAATGTGTGTCTGCATGCACCGGGGGAGAGCAGCCCGAACCAGCTCAGGGCCATTACAGGGTCACAGACCAGTACAAAACCATCGCATACACTCGCACAGACCACGCTCCACAATGAGCTGATCCAGAATCAGGGAATGTAACTCAGTCTCTTTAAAGTGATAACTTGGTGAAGTTTACAGTTTCCCCCTTTATCCCAAATGCAATCAGACATGTTTGGTGTCCTAAGTTAAGTATAGCTATGAGGCTAAAGTAGCTAACAAGCAGTGGAAGGTATGGGGAGGAAACGAAGTCCTACACCGTCTGCTAGCTGTGGTCAGAACATTCTGAATCAAATTTGTGATACAGCTGAAGAGAATTACCAACAATTGGACTGCAGGACCCATAAGTGGGCTCTGACACCAGATTATGGGATGGTTGATAGTGACAACAGACCATTTACTTAACAGGAAACGATCATAAACACGGTATCTTATGCCAAGTAATGATTTTGATTATTGATAAAATATCAAATATAACTGAACATGGGGGAAACACGTACAGCCGGTCATGAGCAGCACCTCCAATTCATTGTTAAACTACATTTTAAACACAAACAGCAGAGGGCGATATGACCCCCTTTCCTTCCCTACCAATTAGCGTCATGCTAATAATGTGGTAAATTACATTGTTTACAGATGACAGTATGTTATACAGTGAAGAGTGTCAAACCACAAAGCAAGCCAGTGGTGTGATTTATTAGCCGATCTGGCTTCAGCTGATTGACTACATTTGGGCTGAATGGGGGGAAAAAAAAACTGTAAATTTGATTTTTCACCAAAATTATCTCTGGATCCAGAACAGCCACCCAGGACTTTTAAGTACCAACACACTGTTACAGTTACAATGGCACCGATCCGCGTACAAAACCAAGATACAAATAAGTGGTGCAACAAGAAAGATTTAAAGGCCAATCGAATTTAAACAGCGTCGAATTACAGACCGGACTGTAAGAGCATTTTCTCACAGCCGGTCAGGTACAAGCTAAGCACCAACCTTTTTTTTTCTCCTTTTTTTAAGATATCAGTATGCAAAAATATTTTTTTGTCTCTCTCTCTCTCTCTCTCTCAATACCGTCTTACATTTCCATAGCTAAGATGTCTCTTAAACACTTAGGTTTAAAAAAAACAAAAAACCAAAAACAAAACAAAAAAAAAAATAGAGGAAAGAAAATCCACATGAAAAGAGATTTTAAACAATCCCTCTCTTTCTCATTGTGCACACGCTAAAGGTGCGAGTAGATAAATATATTTTTAAAATATGACTAAGTCTTTCTGTCCCCCCTTTTCTTTACAGTCTCAAAAATCTTACATCTCTGGATCCACGTCTCACACGCAGAGAAACAAGGGAGAAAAAATAAAAGGCAATATTTGAAAAAGAAGAAGAAAAAAAAAAAAGGAGCTTAAAAAGGACAATATTCTTTTTTTTTCTCCTTCTGGTCGAAATGCCAGACTGTTTGAGGAAGAAGAAAAGGAGTAAAGGAGGGAATTCAATTCTTTCCAATTTTGGAGAAAGAGTGAGCCGCCCACACCTTTCTCTTCCTCTCTGTGCTATCCCTCCATTCCTCTACATTGCTACAGTGGCTACGACTCTCGCAACTCTCTCTCTCTCTCTCTCTCGGGCCAAAATACAATCTCGCACAGCCAAGCGCTGCTGACGTTTACATTCAAAGAATCAGTACAGTGTGATCAGGGAGACTTCGAGACCTCCACCGCTCGAGAGTGAGTGTGCATATGTGTGTGTTTGAGAAAGATATGGAAAGAAAATAGTGGGAGGGGGAGGCCTTTTCATCATTCTGAATTATTACAAAAATCTAAACAGGATTCATGATATACATATTTGCAAAGCATGGAGGCGGGGGGCTTCTGTGCAAAAAGAGGGGTTATTTAGTATTAATAAACAAAACAAAACAAAACAAAAAAACAAAAAAAATCAAAAATAAAAGATTTAAAAAGAAAATGCACCCCTGTCTCCTACTAAACCCCACTCACTCCTCCGTTATCCGTACACTAACTCAAAGGTGCCCTTTAGTTCCATTCATAATGGAACCAGGTAATCAAGGCTTGCAGGAACATAGGGCTGCACGATATATCGCTTGTTAACTGTTATCACGATATCAGCCTCGTATTGCTATTGCAATGCGTAGCAGGGCTGTACGATGTATCACTTGTTAATTGTTATTGCGATGCTGGCCTGATATCGCAGACAGCTATAGGCTAATTAGCGCTTTAAGGCAGCATCTGACCAATCGCAGCCCTAGATGAGCTTCTGTAGGTGTTCTGATGGATAAAATTATTCATGTAATTACAATAATTTAGGCCAAAACAATGCAGGCTAATCTGTAATCATGCCACATTTTTGATTGACCAACTGTAAGGCAAATCGCAATCCTATCAATATAGCAATGTAATCGCAATACTAATACTTTGTCCATATCATGCAGCCCTAGCCAGCTTTAGCTAAACTCTCTGGACTCCAGGTATGGAGTCAGGCACCCCTGGGGGGCGTTCACAAAGCAGGATTTCTCTATAAAAGCTGGCTAACTTAAGCCCAAAGTGAGGACTGTCCCATAATAACACTGCTCCTAAGTTATCTGGCCAAGAAAAATCCTACTTTGCGATCACGCCTCTGACCATCTAGCATCTTCTAATCTTCAGACAGAGTCAAACCCCCGACCCCCCTCACCCCTCCACCTCCAGGCAGAAGCAGCGGAGTCCAGAGTCGCAGGCAGGGTGGCAGTAGGCAGGTTTTTGGGGCAGCAGAAGGAAAAGAGAGGGGGCAGGGGAGGTGTTTCCTTTTTCATTTTTTTTCCCATTTCTTCCTCCTCTCCAATCACTGGAACAAAGCACCGCCGTCTCCGCCCACGCCCTGCAGTGACTCGCCGGTAGAGCCGCCCGTCTCCGAGGCCCCGCCCTCCAGGTCGGCCGGCTCGAAGCCCGGCTCCGCCCCCAGGGCGTCAGCCTCCATCTTGATGCTGTCTGGCAGGAAGTTGGCGTAGGCGTCGCTCTCGGCCATCAGCAGCTTCAGCTTAGGGATCCAGCTTTTCCGCACCACGCGCCGGGCGTTGGTGCACATGTCCGCCGCAATCGCGTTCATTTCGCTCTCTTTGAAGCTGGTCGCAAAGTTCTGGCAGTAAACTGAGGACAGAAAAGAGCGAAGTTCTCATTAAGCTCGAACACATCAAAACAAGCGCAGTTACAATACTTTGTTTAGATGGAAACTTGAAAAATTACCCCTCTTTTCCTTGTTAGGTTTCAGGCCAAGGGAAATCCCCCTGAATTCTGCATAATTAAACGGTTCAGATGTAAACACACTCATTCAGAGGGGTCTGACGTGAAATGCGCTGTTCTAGGGAAACAGTGATGGTGGTAGGAATCAGACGTCTGAAGAGTTTAATGCCTTTAAAAACTTCCTCACAGAGTTATTATACAAAACGGTTTTGAATACACCACCTCATGTCGAAGTTTTGGCCTAGAACGTATTTAAAATCCATTCACTTTTGTATTGCACTGTAAGGGAAAATACTCCATAAAGAAGACATATTCTCTCAGATGTACCACTATTTTCCCATTAACAGCATTGCATTTAAAACCTATACAAGTGATTCACTGGAGGTTCTGGATAGTAAATAATATGTCTATATTTGTGTTGTAGACATTGAGACCCCTGGTTCCCATCACCACCACTGTAAAAAAGTCTGAGTCGGTAATTTTCTCTATAACGAACCATCTCACTTCAAACCACTCTGAAGGTTTACATCTCAATAAAGAATTCTGTTATTAAGCCTTTAAGACGTCTTCAAGTTCACCGTACACCAGTGGGCTGGGAGAAATATTATAAACAATAACATGTTTCACCTCCCCCACTACACCCATCTATCATTGAGAGAAAATGCTCTGCTAGCTCAGAGACCCTCCCTGACAGCCAGAAATACATCACAGTGCGTAAGAAAAATGTGTTATGAATTCCTATTTGCATTGATTTTATGATATAATATTCTAATTAAGAGAGCAAGGTTACTAAAGCAACAGCTCAGCCAAAAATCTAATTGACTTTATTCATTATGTAGTCCAGGCAAGTCAAACTGGGGACCTTCTGGGCCAAAGTGCTGCAGAAATTAGCGTTTACCCACATCTACTGTTCTGAATTCAGTTCACAAAGGCCTTGCTAATTAGCTGATGAGCTGAATCAGGTGTGTTTAATGAGGCAGAGTGATGAAGACTGCAGTGTTTTGGCCCACGAAGACTGGAGCCTGACACATATGATGTAGTCAGTCAACCAGGATGGACAAAAGTACAGACAAAAAATAAAAATGATTGCCACTATTACTGTTAGTGGCAATCAGCTTTGGACGTACGTTTGTCCATTTTTATAGATATAAATACGCCATACAGTGTCAGAAACCGCATAGGCTAGTCTATTGGAGATTACTTAACGACCTGATACAGTTTGAGGCCAAGTGTGTGATGACTTAGGCATCCAGTTCACACAGTGCTAACTGGATACAAGCTTCCATAATTCGTTAGCTACATTAGACTAAAGACTTAAGAAGCAAACTTGAGGCATTTCAGATACTGGCTGATCAACTACATCTTGATAACAGGCAAAACTGTTCATTTCAATTAATAACCGCTAAATGAAGATGCAGGCCTTCCTTAACGAACTAAAAACATGGGTTGATGAATCATGCGCTCCGAAAGTGAAAGGTGATGTTTATCGTTTAGACGTAACCACAAAGATAAGCCATTTCACCCATAGTGCACTAGTCTTTCTAAGAGAAACACCACAAGCACAGAGCTTCATGGCTCCATAAGCTACTTCGGTCTTTTCATACGATCAGATTGTGCAAAAAAGAGAGATTCATCAGGATGTAGCTGATGTTCGACCACATTTATTTATAGCTTTATCTCTGAATTCTCCTTTAAAGTCTTTGGCTGTTAAAAAAACTGACACTGTAGTGCAGCTAAATGGTAGTCATAAGTGGACTTGTGCAACACCAGGGGTCTGGAGGAAGACCGCACCTGAAACCCCCCCCTGCTAGTGAACATATACTTGCCACTACAGCTATCCATTACTTTTAGCCCAGAACACCACCTCATGTTCCAGTGTTCCTCCGTTCTTTACCTTCACTCCTCAGGACTCCATCGATCAAATGAAGGTGTGGTCAGCACTCACAGATCTTATATTGGGAAATGTATCGTATGGATGTTTTAACTTGGCATAATTAGCCTGAAATGTTGCCATGATTCAAGAAAACAGGCACTATCATTTCCATAAGTGCCTGCATGGTCAATACATTCTCGAGTGGTATAATCCAATTTATTTTTGCATGCATAAGCAAAGTCTATTCTTACAGCCCAGGCAGGTCTACACTTACTGGCCAGCTGTCATAAATAAAACCATGGGCTAATTGATAATAAAATACAAATGAAGCAGAACTACATCACTGATATATAAATTAGTGGGCTACACACATTCCCATGGTCACACTACAACCACTGTCAAGGCTACACTACACCCACTTCTTATGCTACACCCATTTTCACAGTTATGCTATGTGCAAACGAAGTAAAACCAGGACTGGAGTCTCAGATAACAGATCAGAGCTCAGAACGCTCATGCAAACAAAAAGAACAGCAAAAACACAAACTACGCAAGGCCATTATCGATAATTATTGATATATCCCCAGGTGGTCCCAGCTCTACTTTACAGCCAGTGTTTTCACCCTGGTGGCTGGTGTATGATGGATAACTCACATTTGACTGCGTGCAGGACGCGGCTGTCCAGCGGCTTGCGGCTGGGGTCATTAGTGGAGGAGCGGATGCCGGTCCCACAGCTGTTGGCCAGAGTGCTCCTGCATGAAGAGAAAGAGAGCAGGGTAGGTGAGTAGCTGGACACTTAGTTTGGCGAGTAGTTAAACATTCCAGGCTTTTGTTCACTGAATATGAAATAAAATTAAAGGAGAACAAATACAACACAAATAGGCCCAATCCCATTTCACCCTTCGCCCCTACTACTTAGCCCTTGGTCCTCCGTTTTGCGTGTTCACTCCTAGGGGTAGGGTGTCCCGGTTTTTGTTGAGATAGAGGGGAAGGGCGAAGTGTTAGGGCTACACGACCCTCCAAACTGAGGTTTTTCAGAGGCACATTACAAACAGAGTGTGGCAAGATGGCTGCGCAACCAACGAATGTGAATTTCTCCGTTAAAAATGATGACAATCACTGTATTATCTTAGTTCAATGTCGTTTCAATGTATTGTGGTCGTTTTCTTCATAACAAGCATAAAAGGGGGGGAAATCGCTAGTAGTCTGCTGATCTCTCAGTAACTAGCTAGCTAAATTTCCCGTTCCACCTTAAATAGTCCAGCAGTTCTGACGCCTGAAGTGTCAGAATGTAACTGCAGCTCCATTAAGGTGGAAAATTCGAACAAGAAGCTGGTGAATATCTGACTTCAGCTTCATATCACTGAAGAATTAGGGGTGGGTGATAATAAATAATTGCCCCCCCCTTTGAAGGCATATGATGCCCTAAATGTAACTAAAGCCCAGCAGTGAGGAGCTGAACTTTACCCTCCTCTGCTGTCACTGCAGACTGGCAGGGTCACCTACAGAGCAGCGCTGGTAGCTGTTAATGAAGTGAAGTTCTTTTTTATTTGAGGGTCTCATTTCAGAGGGAAGATTTCAACCACTACCCCATATAACTCAGTTCCAAGGGGCAAGACGACACTCAAAAACAAGGTGCAGGGGTAAAAAATAAGAAATGGCATTGGGCCCAAGTCTCAGAAAAAAACAGAACTGCATTTCCTTGCCATTTCACATGTACACCTGCTACTGTTTTGGTTTATTTCCCTGTTAGGACTTGCTAATCAATGCTGTATCATATGGAGCAAAACTTTTGCCCCCACTTGAACAAACAAGCCCACTCAGCTAGCCTTTATACTTTCACCACCACAGCTGCAGATTTGTATACGGACCTCACTGATATACAGGACAGCATAAAACAGCAATGTAACATCAAATATCACAAACGTGTAAGTAACTGATTCAGCACTCTTTTTTTATTGATGACAGTCTCTCTGTGGAATAACTGGTCCATATTCTGTCCTCAGTAGAGTAAACAGACAAGCTGGGCAGATACTTAACAGGCCAGTAATATTTTTTAAATCTACAAATAGCACGATACAGATATCGAAACCTAAATACCGGGTTAATATTTCGTCTTTAACACCTACTAAGCTTTAAACTTGCAACGTTTAATCGAAGCCATTGACTTAAGACGATCATATAAAAGGTAGGCAATGAGGCTCAAACTACTCAAACGCTCTACTACCCTGCAGGAAGAACTACACAGCTAACATCACATCACACAGTGTGAGAGAATGCTATTTTAGGACAGATCTCTATTTAAAGCTTTAAGGAGTCAACATCCAAAATGCAACATTCAAAGAAGAGGATAAAAGACTGTGTTTAAGTCAGAGAGCTGCTATAAAATGCGAATATTCTCCGATCAGCCACGTCATTAAGTCCACCTCCTTGTTTCTACACTCATTGTCCATTTTATCAGCTCCACTTACTATATAGGTGCACTTTGTAGTTCTACAGTTACAGACTGTAGTCCATCTGTTTCTCTACATACTTTGTTAGCCCCCTTTTACCCTGTTCTTCAGTGGTCAGGACCCCCATGGACCCTCACAGGGCAGGTACTATTTGGGTGGTGGATCATTCTCAGCACTGCAGTAACACTGACGTGGTGGTGGTGTGTTAGTGTGTGTTGCGCTGGTCTGAGTGGATCAGACACAGCAGTGCTGCTGGAGTTTTTAAACACCTCAGTGTCGCTGCTGGACTGAGAACCAAAAATATCCAGCCAACAGCGTCCTGTGGGCAGCGTCCTGTGACCACTGATGAAGGACTAGAGGATGACCAACACAAACTGTGCAGCAGCAGATGACCTATCGTCTCTGACTTTACATCTACAAGGTGGACTGACAAGGTAGGAGTATCTAATAGAGTGGACAGTGAGTGGACACAGTGTTTAAAAACTGTGCAGGGCAGCCGGTCCTCCAGGATCAGGGCTCGGAATCACTGCTCGAAACTGTGCACCGCTGCATTGTTGAGCTCTCTGCTCCTGCACAGTGGCCACACCCCCCACCCCACCCCTCTGATGAGGCAGCGGCCCCTAGCATACAAAATCAACACCCGGAAAATGAGTTGTTAAAGTGTTTTTTTTAAAGTCTTCACAGTTACTGTTGAAAGAACATCAGGAACTATATTAAAATCTTACATATATGCAATAATCACACAGACAAAAATATTCATATTATTCAGTTATCAACCAGAGCTCTATATGGCGTGGCAGAAAGTGAAACTATTTGTTTCTATTTTAAAGTTTTTTGGCATTTACATATCTGTTCTCCCATTACTGATATACACCTTTTATTTCACTTTTTAAAAAATTACAACAAATGAGTTTGTGGTTTAGCCATTGAGTCTCTTTACTTTAATCTTTTCTTTCTGAGCTGTAAGGCTGCAGACCAAAATGAGCAAAAAGAAAAACCTCAGTGGCTGTCAGCGCTGCACTAATGAGAAAAAAAACTGCAAAATACAATATTTTGCTACATTTATGGTTTAATAATTATCTTGAAAAACATTCTTAACAGTGTGCAAATTGACAAGAAAAGTTTTCAGCCAAGCTGAGTCTCAGTATTCGTTATGTTCGTGAGAATAACCCGGACGCTAGTGCCAATGTGCATTTCTACCAATTGCCAAGCTTTTAAACTCCATAACAGTGGCCTATTGTTAAATTGTTGCCACATAACTGTACTATGAGAAAGCACAGCCCACCCCAGAGGTTACAAATTACTCGTCTTCTAATATTTCTGCAGCCATTAGACCCGCAACAGAACAGTGAGTTATACTGACTCAACACACACACACACACACACACACACACACACACACACACACTCACCTATCAAAGAAAGCAGCCAGCAGCCTCCTCAGCAGGACTTTGTGTCTGGTTCCTGCACTAACGTGACAGTTCATCAGCTGGGCTCGCGAGATGTACACACCTGTGCCTACACACACACACGGAATAAACACACACACACACACAAAAATCAAAAACATTTAATTAAGTGGGCCAGTGTGTATCATACATAAATAGGTAGATAGACAGACAGACAGATAGATAGACAGATAGACAGACAGACAGATGTCCAAAGAAAAACATCTCCATTTTTGTTGATTTTTACTTTTCTGCATCGTTTTAACACAGGAACTGTCCTTCATACTATGCGAAATCTTTAAGATGAATGGGCCAACAGCAAAGCTCTAAATTCACTTGGAATAAATGACCTTCATACTGACTTACATTAAAAGTAAAGAGTGTTTTTGTGCTCTCCTGTAAAGTTACCATTTTGCCGATGACACACACACACGCGCACACAGCTGTTGTCGGAAGAAAACCTATATCCAAAATGCTAACTTTACAGGAGAAAGAAAAGATGTACTTTACCCTTAATGTAAGTCAATGGAACCAGACATTTTGCCAAGTCAATTTGATCCATTTCTTTTGGACCATTCTTCATGAGTTATTACTGTTAATTACAAAGTAACTACTATGAATCATACAGTATCTAATACTCATCATTCAGTATCTGCTGTAAATAATAAGTTCTATGACTTGATTCAGTAACTACTGTGAAACAAGTGGCAGTTCTGCAGTTATGACAGTGAGGAGCTGAAGCGTGGACTCATACAGACTCAGTTTAAAGAGTTGAAAGCATTTCATTAAAATGTTTACACTTCACATTAAAGATAAGGACATCACAGTTTCCATAATATTCAGAAAATATGTAGAAAATATCTGTATTCCAACACGGGACAACGACTGCTGGGGTTAAAGGTCACTGTGAGTGGTTAGAGGGCTCATTTTCATATCACAGCTTTCTGTAATATTAAAGGCCCGTATCGGGTTAACAATTAACAAATATGTATCACGCGCCCAAAGACAAAAAGCCCTTAGAAAGAAGAGAAATAAACGAAACTAAAAGATGGCTGAAGCTCTGTCCCAGAAGAGAATCAACAGGAAGGACTCTGAGCATCTGCTGATATCTGTGCATCGCAAATGTCAGGATGTCTTTTCAAAGAACATGCAACCAAGCGTTTAACTCCACTTCCTCACTGTAAATAAGGTCTGCTCAAACGTTTTTGTGTCCTAAAATGGGCGTCTGAATAGACTGTCCGCATGGGCAAAAAACACTAAATCACAGCTGACCGGTTGCTGTTAGGATGCCCCAAAATAAAACATGATACTTCAACAGTTTCATGACAATCAGAGAACTGATTTTCTCTGAAGTTGGAACAGAAAAATGTACCTGCAAAACAGCAGCGCTACACTTTTTTTTTTTAAAAGGCTGTGGGCTGTGAGTGCAGCGGGTAACACTTTACATAACCTCTAACATAACACTGACATAAGCATACCATAAACATGTCATAGCAGATTGTGTCAGATTATGCTCATTAATATTAGGCTACGTTTACACAGCAGGTAAAAGTGGCCCAAATCTGATTTTCTCAACAAATCCGATTTTTTTGTTTGGCTGTTTACAGTATCTTTTAAATGTGATCTGTATGTGACATCAGTCTGAACAGATCAGCTCCTAAACCGACCCACATGTGCAGAAGAACAATGCTTTACGTGGCTCGTCCAGTGGTAAACAATCATGACTATGAACGAATGGCAGTTACTCCCGCAGCTTTCAGTTTTGTCTTCGCCAGCATCACCAGAGCGATCATGAAGTTCCAATGGTTGACAGCTGGGCACATCACCCAGAACGTGTTTGAGTTTGCCGTAAAAAGGGCTCGTTATTCGGCCAAGGCCACTTCTTTGGTTCGAGTCCTCGGATTCTTTAAACTGTTCTCTGACGCTGCAGCCTTGGGCTCCTCCGGCCGCATTCGGCCGTTTCGTTTGAACACAGAGTGGTTTGATGAGTCTCTTCTAATGTTTTGGTACAGAAACATCAGCCTGAATGTTTATGAGTCTCAGCAGCACAAAATGATGACGAATGTCTAGTTGGACTGATGTAAAAGTCGCATAAATTCCGATCTGCCTGTTCAGACTGAGTCGCATTGCTGCAGATCGGATACGAAGCGGATTTCAGTACCACATATGAAAGCGTCTCAAATCGGAATTGAAAATGTCAGATTCAGTGTGTTTTTGCTGTTCACACTGCCACACAGACACACATCTGTATCACATATGAAGAAAAGATCGGATTTGGGCCACTTTTACCTGCTGTGTAAACGTAGCCTTAGAGTGAAGTTACCGTTACTGGAAACGGTCATATCAGATACTGTAACATCAGATATCAGGACTTCAAATTAAGCATATGATAAACATCAAACATAGTATCCGTTATGACTATTACCAGCAATTATGACAATATGGTAATATGACTCATATTACTGGACATAATCTTGACAAGTCATGACAGCCATGACGTTTATGGTTATGTCAATGTTATGTAGCAGAGTAAAGAGTTACCATAAAACCATTTGATTTCTTTTGTGAAGCCAAAAAATTGATCTAAACATGTGAGTGACTGATATATGCCAGTCTTTTTTTTTTTTGAGGGTGAAATGTAGAATTTAGATATTTTTGTTTACCAGCAGTGAGACATTTCGCAACTTCTAGTAACATGAACTCAAGTCGACCAATCACGGTTGTCTCTGGCGATCGATCGTTCGTGTTCCAGCAACTAGAACTTTCTGACAAACGTCAAAAAGGATAAGTTTGTCTTCTGCGTCTTCTCCAAACTCAGTTACAGCTCAAACTGAGTTACAGACATAGGAGTTCCTGGATGAGGTGGAAGTCTCTGTTCTCCTTTCACTTTTCCGAAATGGAAAAGCCTCTTTGTGTCACTGTTTGTCACAGAGGACTCTTTTTGTCACTTAAACACGTTTTGTCTATTTGTTAGTTATTTTTGGTAACACTTCACTTGATCCTGTTACAAAACATTAACATAACCATGCTATAAACATGTCGCTGAAGGTGCTCTATGCAGTCATGACAGATTACATTCATTAATATTTACAGTGCTACGTTGCCATTACTGGTAAATGCCATGAGAGATGGTAAAATGTTCGATGTAATGACACTAATTTTAAGTCATGACGACAAACAATATAGTATGTCAATACAATAAAAAATTGGCTGCAGCCAGAAACTATTTCTACTGCTGTTGTCTTCCCTCTTCCTTTCTACTGCTTCTCTCTTACCCCCCCAAAAAAATCATAAAACATCATAAAATCTGATTTCAACCACTGATGAACTGAGTCTATCACAACACTGGATTAAAAGCCCACCCTCTACTTTACACCAAGCACAAAATTTAAAGTATAGTTGAATTGCTTTTTTTGCATTTGTCAAATGCACAATTCTGATAATGACTGCTTGCAAAATCCTGACAAGTCCTGCCTCCCTTAGTTACTGTAACTATGTCCGTCTAACTCAGTTATGGCCTTCCGGCACCCACAGCACTCATTTACATCAAACAATGGACGCTCAAAGCATTTCACAAAGTCATCCAAAACAGAGCTGTCTGATTTACAAATGCTCTTTATAAGTGGTCTAAATCGGCCTCAGGATCCACGATGTAGAAGCTTCCATATTCACGATACACACAAAAAAGCATATCAAACTTCGTGATAATGAAATCACATGCATTTCTATGCGTTCGACTCTCTCTGCTTTTTCAGTCTCTTTTTTGAAATGTCTTGTTCCTGTTAAGAAATCCATTTTCCAGCTATAACTTTGCTTGCTTTCACACAGAACTGCGATACAGTCTGCTTTATGTTATCGTACCTGAGCCACGTAAATTCCTGAAGCCAAGAAGTTTTGAAATCTTTCTGCGGTTGTACTTTTGCATGAAGTGCTTGAAGCGGATGGTTGTTCAAGTACATCTTCGTGTGCGTCTGTCACTAGTTGACTGGTCAGACTGGGGTTGAGCAGATGACCCCTTAAGGTCTGATAGAGACGGAGATTGTGTGAAAAACAATCTGATATTTTTGCTTCGCCATGTTCCACACGCCGACGTTCACTGCAGCTCGGCTCATCTGCTTTGTCACGTTTTGCTGCTGTGGGTCAAATCCTGCGAGCATAACCCATGAAAAATAACTGGCGAGTTAATTTTATTACTCGCAAATTATTAACTGTGGTCGCAACTGACCATTTTAGTCGCAGTCTGGATCCCTGTGAACGCTGTACTTCACCAGTGGACAGTGTAGAGCCTGCGTCTTATGTTTTGGTCAGAGGTTCTAATCTGTTTATTCCAATGAAGGAAACAAAGACTACTGCAGCCGTCTAAAGGCTGCCTCACACCGCACAGGAAGTGTAGCAGATAGCTCTATATGTAACTCTAGCAGTTGTTCCATAACTACTTAAAATACTCAAACTGATTTTTCATACAAGTTTTTACACTGAAATGACCACAGCTTGCAAAATCGAACTTAAAATGCTCATCCTTTGCGCTGTTACACCCCTGGTAATAGATATCTACCGTAAGTGGATGGATTAGGGGAAGGCGAGGCCACGTCTTACAGTGTAGGACACAAAAAAAAACAGAAAAAGGGGGAGGGGAAAAAAATTCATTAGCTTACAGGCATTCAATGAAACCTGTTCTTTACCACAAAACCAAGACACTACCTGTCCATACAATGTTAACTCATCCAAAAGAAAGAGGGAGAGAGAGAGGGAGAGAGAGAGAGAGAGCTCAGTGTTCATGGGCTACTGAATATGACTCACGGGACATTATGATTGTAACCTAATCTCTTCATTCTCATCCACGGATAAAAACATGTTTCATCAGCTCAGGCGGGACTTGCCCCTATATTGTGCCATGGCTGACTGGCTGAGTTTGCCTATAGTTTCATTTGTAATCACATGAGCACACAGAGGAGAAGAGGGAACATGTTTCCGCCTCTCTCTCTGGCTCACACACGCATGCAGACACGCACAAACACAAAGCGATCGAGCGCTGTTGACGGACGGACGGCGCTGGCCGAGTTTGTTAACGAGATAATGGTGTGTGCAGTATTGGCAACGTGGAACAATTAAATCAGACGGCAGTGACTCCACGGCTGTAATGACTCGACAAAGCATCAACACATTTCTACTGTCACTGCGTCGCTCGCTCTTAGGAAAAAAGCATACTCTAAACGTTCGTATGCTCTGCGCGGTCATTCTGACAGATTGTAATGCACTACAGGAAGTGTAGGGGGCGATGAATACACTATTTTTTCAATAAGACAACATAATTGCACTAAATTAGAGCAGCTGATTAATCAATGTATTAATAATAGTCGACAGGTTAGCTGACAGGTTAAGTGATGCGGTCTGACCTGTGACGAGCTCCAGTTTCTCGGCCGGGTCGCCCTCCTCGTACAGTTTGGGGTGACAGCGGTTGCCGATCTGTGCGATTAGCTCGGCCGGCAAAGACGCCAGGTCCTGCCTCCCGCGCATCCGGCTCCGAGTCTCCGAATGATCTGGGAGAGCCTCCACTCGCTCACCTGCTGAGAGACAGAGAGAGACAGAGAGAGAGAGAGAGAGACAGAGAGAGAGAGAGAGATATTGATATAGAGATAAGAGAGAGCAAGAGAAAGAGAGAACGAGAACCAAGAGAGAGACAGAAAAAGAACCAAGAGAAAACAGAGAGAGAAAAATATATCGATATAGAGATGAAAGAGAGCGAGAGAAAGAACGAGAACCAAGAGAAAACAGAGAGAGAGGGAGAGAAAAAGAAAAAGAAAAAGAGAGAGAGAGATCGATCGATCGATCAATCGATCGATATAGAGATGAAAGAGAGCAAGAGAAAGAGAGAACGAGAACCAAGAAAAAACACAGTGAGAGAGAGAGAGAGAGAGGGAGAAAAAAGAAAACAGAGAGAAAGAAAGAGAGAGAAAGAGAGAGAGAGATTGAAATAGACAAGAGAGACAGAGCAAGAGAGAAAGACAGGAGACAAAAAAATAATAACAGAATGAAGAAAAACAGAAAAAATGAAAGAAAAGGGAAAAACAGAGAGAAAGAACCGTCAAAAAAAAAAAAGGGTGCAAAATATGGAAAAAAAAAAGAAGAGGGAGAGCAAGTGAGCAGAAAGAAAGACAAAAAGATGTTTGTTTGGGATGTTCTCTGTAGACCAAACGTTCTCAGAGGGACATTTTCTGTAAAAATCACTTTTACGCTCTGAGCACTTCTGAACCTGAACAGTCTTCTGAGTTTGGCGTGTTTGGTGAGTCAAAATTACAGCATAGCAATTTTCTGTCTTCGTAAACATTTAAACGCTGCGGTGTTTGTGGCAGAGACAGAAAACATAAAAATATGATCTTTACAGGAACAGAGAACAAACAAAGTCAGGTTCGAGTTTTTCTCTCCTGAGAACATCTCAGACTTTTGTTCAGCGCACAAATAAAACTTAAGCATATAAATAAAATATCCTCCCATGGATCCTCTTTAAAGAAGCAGATGTCCCAGCGCTGCTGCCAACGCTCAGTTCTACTAATTACAGAGCTTTTAAACTACACAACATTGCTTCATTGTTTAATAACTGCCCTTTTTTGAGGCAAAACCCTCCAGGTTACAAACTACTTGTTTACTAATAATCAAGTTTATATTTTCATGACCTAAAATAATCGCTTGAAGCGGCGTCTTATAAAAGAGTGCCAACATCTAAGAGGCTCTGAATATACACAGTGTTCAAAGTCATGGAGAAGATGAGAGGATTCTCTGATTAAATATTCATGCTTTGGAAATGGTTCAAGCTTTTAACCAAAAAAAAAAAGGTTTGTGTGAAACATTTTTCAGAATTTCTTTTAGGATGGCGTTAAATGAGGAACTCAGTAAAAATGGGGCTTTAAAAGCTGATGTCTGACAATATTCAGACTCAAACTAGTCAGTATAGCCCAGGAAATGTGTTATGACTGGCTAGGTTTCCTCAGCACAGCTTAAAAGGAAATACTGCTAATGCTTAACATATTACATCAGGTTTGCCAAGCGCCAACGACAAAACAACCAAAGGAGAATCTAATTTAGTTTACCAACTACACCAAGCGTAGCTGATCAGCCAAGACATGTTTGGGGTCTGAAGTTGGTTCTTTCCGGTATCGGCCCGATGTCGCGCTCATTTACTCATACTCGGCCTAATAAAAACGCCCCGACACCAACATCCGATACCACGTAACGTACACTGAGTGTACACCGCCGCGATAATGAATAAACTAATAAAGCTGGCAGCGAAGGGGAGTCTGATCGCACAGGGAAGTGTTACTGACTCCATGGAGGTCAGACACAAAGTCACTGGTCACTTTAAACATTCCACCTTGACGTATTCCCACGAGGAATACACTGAGATTTTAGTCGTTTTTAAATACACACAAACGCAATCCCAATACAGGTGGAGACTGGTAGGCTAGCAAAACGGAGGCCAAAAAAAGTTGAGTGGCTGACAAGACCCTATTCATAGTACAATTACAAACGTATTGTAAACTCATTAACGTGCTGAACATACAGGACCTACATTTTAGAAACGCACTGCAAATAAAGAAAACACATGCAACTTCAGAAAAATGGCTGCAAAACCAGCCACAACACAACGGAAACGATTCTGAAAGACTCAAAGGGCTCAGAAGTAGATCAGACTGCAAACACTCACATCAGAGTTCATGGTTAACCTGGCTGGCTAGTTTTCTACCCGATGTGTCACAGCGGTACTGTGGTCATTATCTGGTATTACTAGTTAAACTTTTACAGTTACACTCTGCAGCTAATTCCCATTAGATACAACGATATTAGTAATCTGCTCAAATAAAAGTTAACTCACTTTTACCGCTGAAAGTTTGTGCTGCATAGAATTTAGAGGTCTGAACGGCTCCGTCGTCTCCGAGTGTCCTCCGGAAACACCTCGGCTGTGTTGTGACTGGCTTATCAGCGTATCTGAAGCTGCATGTGTTTCTGTATTTGCAGCGCGTTTATGAAATGTCGCGACGGTGTCGTCATTTTGATGAAAGTGCTTTCTGAGTGTCTACGAATCTGCAGCGTGTTTGTAAAATGCAGCATCCATGTCGTCAATTTGAGTGTTTTCTGCGTTTGCAGCTCGTTTTTATTTATTTGCAGTTCGTTGGATCTTCTCAGCCACTGTAGACAAGTCTGTATATGTGACTTTACATTGACTGAATACAACCCACTCTCCTGGACTGCAGCACTACTCGATCCAGGGGAACTAATTTAGCATAACAAGCTAATGCACGTCATATTAATGATAGCATTTGGTCTCGATTTAGGCTTTAGCATAGCAGCCCGCTAGCTGGGCATGTGCATCTACTATCCCCGCCTGCGCCTCCGTCGGTCAGCTGTATCACTCAGCAACCAAGCCAGAAAAAATCTCTGAAAGTCACTGATACTGACAGAGTGAACGACGGTGATATTTACTGAACTGACGCTCAGAGATGCAGCACGAGTGAACAAGATGCACGCATGAGACAAACGACTCGAGAAATCTGGATGTGAAACAACATTCAGCTCCGCTTTTGAGCCAGAGCAGCTGCTGTGTGCTGATGTGTTTGTGTACTGTTCAGTTCTGTTTTTAACTGTTTTGCACAATAAAGATGTTTTACATCTACTTAGATTGTTAAACATGGTTATTACTAATTATATAATAGTAAATATATACAGTAAATAAACAAGAATAAGTTTTCTTAAGCATCTAATAAATATAACCCACCAAGTAAAGCTAACCTGAGTCTGTTTTATTTGTGACGCAGAACACAGATACAAAAATAAAATAAAATGTAATTGTATAAATATCAGGACTTGTATGTGAGCGAGTTACATTAGATAGAGTTAGTATCTGTATCGGTCCTGGGTATCAGCTGATACTAAAGGATCAGGTATCGGTATCGGAAGGAAAAAAGTGGTATCGGTGCATCTCTAACGCACAGCATGTTATTCTGAAAGAAACAGCTTTAATTGAAATTGTTGACAAACAAAGCTGTTTGTAGAGGCTGTGTTTTGCATTTTCATGGAGGGGAAAAAAATAAAATAAATCGCAGTCTTTGTTGGTTCATGATGCTCTATTCAAATAAACAGTGCAAGTTTCTAAGATTGCACAGTGAATTCCTGACTTTTAGGAATTACAGCTCAACCAACCAAACAAAAGACTTCAACAGGACGTGAGCTCCTCAGACGCGTCAGCTTCGGATGCGAATTCTGCTGTCACTGTGCTACAGAGACTGTTACTGAAAGAGACAGAGGAGGATCAAAACTATGAAACGTACTTTAGGTACATCTGTACAGAAACGCTTTTCTGAGGTGGAACACAACCCGCTCTCCTGGACTGCAGCGCTACTCGACCCAGGGTAGCTAATTTAGTATAGCTAACTAATGCACGTCATTTAAAATCAGCTAGATTTAAATGTCAGGGTACACTGCACTCACCTTACTCACACTAACAACTACTTAGAACTAAGCAGGTTACTCAGTATGGTATTACCGAGTACTAAAAATTATGTATTCGTACTCTGAGAAAAAACTCATCTGAGAAAAACAGTATTGATGCTTCACTAAATGAAAGTCAGTTAAACTGTACAACTAAATACCACGCTCACCTCAAACCATGTCGAGTTGTTAAGCAATCTCAAATAGGCTTGCTTATGTGGTTTGTGACACTATGACACACTGTTATCTATAAACCTCTGAAGTTGTGTGTCATACTCATACTAGAAACTCTGGGTCTAAGCTGTTTTTTAATGACAGAAATGAATGCCGTCTTTTTTAGAAATCACCGCTGTCGCATCCTGTGGTAAATAAAAGTTTCATAATGTGTACATATTTTCATCCCCATGTCTCACTGAAAATGTGAATAATGCTACATACATAGCTAATACAGCGCACTGAAATGATATCGCATGAAAGTACGTCAGCTATTAAGCCAACACCATTATATACCAGCACCAGCTACTCAAACTGTAGGCTAAAACTTCCAAAGCCTCTAGTCCAGGGGTCTTTAATTAAAATTCAGTAAGGTCCAGTTAGAGAAAATTTCCCCAAGCAAAGGTCTGGAACATCATAATGTCACTTGCATTATGATTCAGTGCCATACACTGTTCACTGAAGTAGCCTAGTAGGTATATCAACATCTTATACAGTCAACAACTGAATGTTAAATCAAATAAAGTACAATTCAGTCATATTTCAGCAACATATATAGTCAGTTTTCTCTTTTTAGATCACGCCATGTGAAATAACTTCCCTCTGACTCACTTTCTTCTCTGACTGCTGTTTCTCGCCTCGTCCCTCCCCTGTGTGTGTCACTCACTCAAGTCTCAGTGCTCATCGTAAAGCACAGATCTGATTGGCTGAGTAGCGTCATCTGTGATATTTACAACGCATGCGATTGGTCTGTGAGTTTCCCGGGCCGCTAAATCGGCACCGTAAAGGCTATAAAAGCTACATTAATTAAAACAGGACCACCCCGTCAAAATTAAATAATTCTCCATAGTTTATCAGTTATAGGTCCAGGTCCGCATAGGACAGCATCTGGGTCAGGACTCAGACCGCAGTCCGCCTATTAGTGACCTCTGCTCTAGACTACCACATTTAACTGAGCTCACTGGTTTGTGTGGGGTATTTTGCTGAGGCCAGTCTTATGATGTCAGCTCAGTGGGCAGCAGTGTTAGCCTGTATGTAGCAATAGTTGTATTTCGGTTCCTTAACAACCTCATAATCCAGAAGATCCAGTGAGGTTCGTAGGAAAACTATCCGAAGGGTAAAACGTATCGGCTTTGGAACACTTTAGCAGGAGACGACAGCAGCGATTTTCCCAAAACGTTACTTCTGTCAGAGAGAAACCAGCTTAGACGCTGATTACACAACCACAGCATGACTTCAGACCACACAAGCGAGTCTATTTGAGATTATTTGTTAGTTACATTAGGCTTGTAGCCCCACCGCAAAAGAATAAAAGTCGTTTGGCTGATTCCCTAAACTTTGGTGGAAGCCAGGGGTCGCAACCCAAACGTTATGAAGAGCCATTTTGTCCTTTCAATAAAAATCAAACCACCTTGGGAGCCACATTTTATGTCCAGTTTACCATCTTGGCTGTAAATATGTCTCAGTATGTGCTAATGTACTAGTATTGGCTAAACATTTAATATAAACAAAAACGCAGACTTACTTTGCTCGGCTTAGACTTACTTTGCTTCTCTCACGTCTCCGGCAGGAAACTTTTCCGCTAAAGTCGAACAGTTTCTTGTAAAATGTCTCTCAACGTCTGAATTTTTACGAGGCTGAAGTCGCTTCTCGCCAGCTTCCTGTTCAGATTTTCCCGTTCCACCTTAAACAGTGCCTGAGGCACCAGACTGTATCTGCTGCACTATTTAATGGTGGAACGGGAAAATCTGAACAAGAAGCTGGCGTTTGTCTCCAAATTATCGGTGTTCGTCTTGAATCTCTCTCTTTGCCGTTTTCGTTAGCTACTAGCTAGGCGAGATTGTTGTTTGCGTTGCTATGGTGACCAACAGTATGTGCGCCAATCTTCAGGGTTAAAGGCTGGGAAATTAGCAGTTCTACATTAACTGCAGTGCTTAAGACCATTTATTGTTAAACTGTTTTGAACGATGATCAGAAATTTATTTTACTGTAAAGGAGGATTATTTTATTTTTACCTACAAATCTAATTCTGCTGTGGAGCCACAACAGGACAGTAAATGAGTCGCATGTTGCCGACGCCTGGTGTAAGCAGTAATGCTAATGCAGTTGTCTACAGTGTCTACATACGAACGTGCTACAAGCAAGCATCGCATGACATCCCATGAAAGCAAGTCTACTATTAAGCCAACACTATTATGCAGCTGTCTCACCTGCAGCGCCCATGTTAAGCATGCTGTACATGGTGTACATGTTGCAGATCTGCCTGTACTGCTCTTCGGTGCCGTCTTCAACAGCTTCCTCCTCTTCTTCATCGTCGTGGTAGGAAATAGGCGAGTCGCTGGCGTAGGCGCTCATGGTACCTGGGCTGGTGCCCTCTGGGGTGGCGCCGCTGCTGGTGCCGTTACCGTTGCCGTTGGTGCCTCCTGGTGCTACCGCCAAGCCCATGGGTAGTCCCTGCGGCTGGATGGCGCTTCCTCGCGCCGCTTCCTGGGAAAAGCGGGCGGCTTTCCGGATCCCGCCTCCACCGGAGGCTCCGGATCCGCCGCCCTCTCGGTTGCCGCCCTCCCACAGCCTTTTGGCCACGGGGGTGCAAACTACAGAGTAGGGTGAAGCCTCAGGCTGCTCCGTTTTCACCCTAGACACCAAGGGCAGCGGGGTCAAGCAGGACGCGGGCCGGCTGGCTGCAGTGGCAACCACCCCTCCTCCTCCTCCTCCTCCTCCACCTCCTCCACCGCCGCCGCCTCCGCCATTAGCCGAAGCCCCGGCGGCTGTCTGAGTGACTGGACTCTGAGGTTCGGATGGGGGAGTTTCTTCTGCGTGAAGGCCCTGCGAATCGCAGCTAGGGGAACTGACCTTCAGGAAGAATTCTGTACCTTTCTCCATGATCTGCTGGATTTGCAGGAACCCGGCCGTGTACATGAGCAAAAACTGGTCGCCCACGTTCATGCTGAGCCGTCCAGTGTAGCAGAAGGCCAGGATCTGCTGGAAGCTTTGCGGCTGCACGGCCGGCGGCAGCTCCACCACCGTGGGCGTCTTGCTGCCGGCGCTGCTGTTGAAGAGGTCGCGGAAGTAGGAGCTGCTGGCGGCCAGCACGGCACGGTGGGCTTTAAAGGCATGGCCCTTCACCACCACGGACACGTCGCAGTACAGGCCCTGCAGCCGCTGCTCGTTCAGACACTCCAGGATGTTGTTGCCGAAGTTTGGGATCGCCATCTGAAGGGTCTGAGCCATGGCGCTATGGCCAGCACCACTGCAGAAATCTGAGGAAAACACCAGGAACGAAGCAGAAGAGAGAGAGAAAAAGAAAAAAACACGGTCAGTGACAGTAATAGCCCGTTATGACCAGACGTGACCATTTGCAGTATTTATCAGTACTAGAATCAGTGAAAAGCATTAGAATTCAGCACTGTTGCTTATGATTACTCAGTAGTCGATTAATCTATAGATTATTTTAGTGAAGCATCAGATCATCTAGACCAGGGCTGCCCAAAGCCGGCCCGTGAGGATGTTTGATCTGTCCTGCTGGAAAGTTACCCTGAGCCCACCCCCTCATCCAGTGAGAGAACAAACATATTTTCTACACTACATGTAACTCATTAAATATTATGTCCCTTTCAAAATGAATCTGATCTTGAATTTACTGGATTTCTATTTTTTTTTAACATTTTTCAACACATTTTATTAACATATTAGAGTTATGAACTATTTTAAACTTTAATTTTAAAGCAGACTACCTTCTTTATTAGTATACTGTTTTGTCTTTTTTGCCCTCGGCCCACTACAATCAATGCACATTATACCCCCCGAGACAAAAAGTTTGGGCACCCCTAACCCTGACAAATAATTTTCACAACAACAAAAGTGAACAGAACAAAGTTCACCTTAATGGTAAAGAATTTCTTTTAGAATTTAAATTATTTTTGCTTCTGAAAGAAGTTTAAACAAGTGGAATCTTCAAAAACAACAGTCGTGCAGCTCACATGGCATGTCTTCCCACTAGAAACAAGAGTTTGCAGTTACCCCAAAGAGGATAAATAAAAGCCCATTATTCTGTTATTCAATACCCTAATAACACTAATAAGCTACAATAACAGTACGTTAACTCAACACGCTAAGCTTCAGCCATTTTACTGTTTTAATAAGGAATGAGTTGTGTGCCATTAAAGTAAACTTACAGCAAAAATTACAAAAGTTATTCTACAAGTTCACAACCACAAACAAGAGCATTTTCTTCAGTTTAAGCAGTTTTCACTCTGCGGTGTTACTAATTCATTACTTGTTGTGCTGAAACGAGTTATTGGAGAACTGTTGGACGTGTCAAAATAGGGACTATGGGCTGATACATAAAAATGTACAAATTGGGATTTTATCTACACAGATTAGTGTGAAATATAACATTTCGCTGCTGTTGGAACAAAACCTCCTATCTGAACTTATCATTTTTCAGTTTGAGACATAACTTGAAAATACCTGCTGTCCTCTACATTGTGGGTAAATTTCATGATGAACAGACCAAAAGAAACGTCCCAAAATGACTTGGAAATATGTCTGGTTCCATTGATGTACATTAAAAGTAAAGTAGGTTTTTTTCTTTCTCCTGTAAAATTAGCATTTTGGAGATATGAGGTTTTGATGTGACAGCAGCAATTTATTTAAACAGGACAACAAATGAAAAATACAGTTCAGCACAGTAATTCAGTGTCTCCTAAACATTCTGTTCTTCCGGAATTCATTAAATGTGGACAAACAGACTAAAAAAACGTCAGTCAAATCTAAAAACCTGTCCGATGATTTTTATCACTTATTTTCGGATATTGATAAGATTCCAATATCATGCATCCCTAGAGAAACACTGACTGGGAGTTCAGAGCTCAGTCTGTAATTTAGGGTTAGGACCAGCCCATCAGTCATATTCACAATATGCAATATTCAACAGTGCATGACAAACTGGATTAATACTCAAACAGTCAAACATCATTTCAGCTCAACTCAGAACAACTAACTTCTGGAAAGTGAGAATGTTTTTTTCATTACATTGGGCCTTTGAGCAACATGTCAACCTCAGCTCCACATCAGCACCTGTTACTGTTGTCCTTAAAGGGTCCATATCATGGAAAACTCCATATCGTGGAGTTATTCCTCACTTTTTTGAAATAAAGACTTTAGCACGGTTTATGTACAACATCAAAGTTTCAAAACACACTGTTCACCCCAAGTCCATATATGGAAACTATTTTGAATTAATCGATTCACAAAAGCCAACACATTTACGTACGTCCACCTATTCAGCCTACAGCTGTTTAGCCCTGTCCATTCACACTGAAGTTATAAGAGGCAATACTGCTTTTTGAACGCTCAGTAGCAAAATACAGGGCAGCCAATCAGAACAGAGCCCATTCAGATATATCAGTCTTAAAGGCACAGTAACAAAAACAGCCTGTTTAACTGTCAAAATAAATTAGGATACACACACACACACACACACACACACGGACGCACACACGGACGCACACACGGACGCACACACGGACGCACACACGGACGCACACACACACACACACAGACATAAAAACAAAAAACTTAACTTTTAAAGTTAACGTAACCAGACTTTTTATTTATACATATTTTACATTATTATGAAGCCCTGCTGGTGACATCCCATATAAATAAAAACAACGCGTGGGAACAAGATCCTAACGCGTGGCCACTACTTAGTAAGCAAACACATGAGGATCTTGTTCCCAGTCCTTACTAAGTCGTGGCTAATTTCATTCCCATGCCATGCTAAGTCATGGTCACGACTTAATTATCTTGCTCCCATGCCTTACTAACTTGTGGCCACGGCTTATCTTGTTCCCATGCCTTACTAAGTCGTTGCCACGACTTAATTATCTTGCTCCCATGCCTTACTAACTTGTGACCACACATTTTTTTTTTTTATTTATACAGGATGTCACCAGCGGGGCTCTGCTCTACATACACACACACACACACACACACACAATATACATCTATAATATGAAATGCACAAAAATATTAGTTTATTGGCCCTTTAAAAAAGCTCAACTGAAACCTCTCCACTGAAAGGTTCTTCAGGGAACCAAAAGTGGTTCTTCTATTGCATCACTCCAAAGAACTCCTGCAAGCCGACCATTTAGAAACCTTTATTATCAAAAGTGGAACAAAAGAACATCCATAAACAGCCACGAAGACAAAACCGCTTCTGTTCAACAGGCCCGTCCTTTAAGACAATGGCCAAGGCCACTGAAGTGCAGCTACAGCAGGAGAGCGCAGGCGGGCGAACCCAACTTCTCCGGAATTGAAACGGGACGGCAGGAGGAAGAGTTAATGTAAACGTGATGGAGATCCAGCGGAGAGGGAGCGAGAGAGATAAAATGGCGCTTTATCTGAGCTCTGTACAGAGATTTAGCCTCGCAGTGATTGAGGTCACAGTTGAACATGAATGTGTACAAACACTGCGCTTTGTCTGACACTGTAGACGCTGTCAGCCCTGTTTAATATGACACTATGAGGAAACTCTTCATTCGAGCCCACAGCTGTGCTCTTTTTACACACAACAAAACTGAAATACAATGAAAGGAACATAATGTACCTAATATTGCTTGAGGGTTCTAAAGGAATGAACCACTATTCACCTCCCTGTTCTGTCTTAAACAAAACGCTAATTCTGTTTTTGACGCATTACTACTTTGTTAAAGCTCCCATATCCCGTTTTTATTGTGTTTTCATTATTTTTTCTACTGAGGTCCATTTATAACATGTAATTTTATATAACCAACAGCCATAATCCATCATTTTTACATGACCACTTTCCAACCTCTCTTTATCCTTTAGATTTAAACAGGCTGTTTTCATAACCCGAGACAAACAAGCTCTATTCTGATTGGCTGCCTTGTGTTCAGACCTTACTCCTAAAGCACTCAGAGCTGAAACACTCCTTATAACTTCAGAGTCAACAAGCAGATATACGCAAGTTGGTTCTTGTAACATCAGAGAAACAGTGAATTCAAAGCAGGCTGTTTCCGCAGCTTAGTTTCCATGTACAGCCTGGACTGGATAGTAAATAGTACATTTTTGAAACTTCAACAATGTGTGTTTACATGCACTTAATAACCTGCAGGAAATCAGATTTTGTCAGTAATCCGATCAGCGCGTTTACATGCATTTGAGTAATCAGATAATGGGGAAACTCCGGGTCTACATGAATCAGACAGTAATCATATTTCAGCTTTGCAACCAGCCAATAAACTCACAGAAGGTGACGAAAACGTAATGCAAAACTCAAACTTCATGCTGTGGCTTTTTTAAAAACATCGCACCACTTTACCTGAAAATATGAACAAACATCACCTAGAAGATGAAGAATAATTAAACCCTTCATTTCGTCAAGCATGTATTTGGTTTCAGTGTCGCTCCAAAAGTGTTTCGCTGCATCTCGCGGCAACACTGCTCGCTTATTTCCGGTCCGATTTCGCACATGAGCAAATCCGAAAGAAATCAGAGTAAGAGTTCACATGCGCTGAGAAATCTGATTACTGAGCTAAAATCCAGCTTATCAGATTTCTTAATCGGATTTCTAGACCTTACTCCGATCTAAGAAATCAGACTGTGCTGTTTACATGACCATTTGAATAATCAGATAAATGCAGAAATCCGATTATGATCGGATTATTGTGTGCATGTAACACACTCAATGTTTACGTATTGCTTCAAACTTGTGTGTTTTAAAAAAAAAGTGAGGGAAATTCAGTTTTCCATGATTTGGGCCCTTTAAAATAGTGACTTGAGTAGAAGTTAAAGTAGCCAAAACGTGCCGAGTTCTTCTGTAGAACTGCAGCAGAACTGCTTTCAGCATTAGAACCTAAGTTTGTCTTTTCTTCTCTCTTCGGTCTCAAATAAAACGCTAAGACTCCAAAGTGAGTGATGTGAGCAACAGTGAAGCAGCCCAGGAGCTGGACCACCACAAGGAAATTAACCCCACCAAAAATGAGGGACTTAATACTAATGGCTACAATGGAACTGAGGAGCAAACAGATTTCTAATTCACTTCAGAAGTATCATCTGGAAATACTCACCATATAATTCTATCGAAATTGTACTTGAGTACATATAACTGAGTAAATGTAACTAGTTACAAGTATCAGTACCTGGAATCGGCCCGTTATTAAGTAGGATACTAATGGACGCTGCTGTCCCACAACGCAATACTACTCAAGGCTGGAACACCTTGAGAACATGG